CAGCCTATGTTATGTACCCGACGGATAACGAGCTCAGTTTCCATACAAACTCGCATGCAATTATCCAAACAGGCTTCGTTAAATGAGTCGATAAATTACACACCAACGTCAATTTTTTCTCAGCCTCACATTCTCACACTTCTTGGGCATCCTGCGCTTCAACAATCGTAAAGCCTTCCATTTTTCAATACTGCAATATACCTTTAATAAACTTTCAGCTAGCAACAACTCAGCCGATAGGTTCTGATGGATTAACCCAGCTTTCAATTTTGCCATGCTCTTTGCTTGTAAACGGTTTTTCATGGGTTCCAGCAGAAATATTAGAAAGCTCACACTCGGGAATCTTTGTACACCAATGTTTGTGGACTCATTAAGTTTCAAAACCATGTGTCACCTGATGGAAATATTATATTTTCCCGGTCGGTCTGAGTCCGACTAAAAATCTTAGCTGTGGTTTTACTTGCGTGAACTTACGCAAGCGTGGGCACTGCGGTGCTAAGAAGATTACGAAAATGTATAAGGTTTTCGTGGGCATAGGCCATAGCTTTCAGGCTTACCTGCGGAAAGTAAACCAACTTGCCTCGGGAAGCAGCCATATATTATTCTCAATTTGAGGTAACGAAAACTAGATTTTGTGGTGTGTAACAAATTATCAGTGTCCCACTCAGCTCAGCCTGGACGGTATGACTTTCAGGAATCGCGCACAGAAGTAGAGAGCACCAATACAGGTGCGGTGTCTGTGGACGCCACTGTAGATCACATAGGTGACAGTTTAAGTCATATGAGTGAAATAGAACAACCACTGTTTTTTCTGACAGGCTGATGTATGCCTCGCCCGGCGATTACGAGTCCAGGTACCAGTTTTAAAGGAGAATAAAAATTTTCAGGATCAATCTTTCGGCAATTGTATCCTGCGGCATACACAGACATTTGACTCAAGTTTGCGTTTATAACACAACGGGGGAGTACATTTGAGTGTCGAAATCTTTTAACATTAGGTCTCCCACACTATAATCCGTTCCCTCTCGGAACAAATGAAATAAAAGTGGGCAATCTTATCAACATAAAATACCGTAAATATCAATCAGAAGTTGCAACCTGTTACTCCCGATTCTTCTTTGGGAGATATGAAAAGTGGTATCAATCATCCCTCCGTCAGGATGTCCGCTTCCGCTTTTGTGCTCAGTTCCTGAGATTTTTGTCGGTAAACAGCGTTCATGATAACCCGTTTTTTATGCTGCAATAAGAATTATAATTTGCACCAGCTTGCAANCTTTCCACGCACAACTATGACGAGAATCATACATAGACTTTCCGCTCCAAACAGACAGACATTTGTTAGCAAATCATAAACATTTGGTGAACTATCAGAAAACGAAATTCGACTGTGAACTTTTGAGTAGTGCACTTGTGAAAAAGATGTACCGAGATATTTCAATTAGCTTGAAAATTGGCCTCCGGGCCACTCGATGCTTAAATAGAAACCATATGTTGAACGAAATTGAGACTGCTATTATATGAATGGCGGCCTGGCAAAGTAAAACCTGTCTAGTCTGTCGCATGCGATAGTGGTAGAGAGTCTGGTATAGCTTC